TATGAGCTTTTTCTCATCACCTCCATTCCTTAGGCTTGTGCACACACTATTAAATGGGTGACTAGTTACGGCTGGCATTATCTCATCAGTTGGCTGAACATCACATCCAGATCCTACTTTCAGAAGCAGCCAAAGCAGGCTTTATTATCAGAGCTTGGTGTATTTTTCAACATGTGTCTCAGTCAAGTTCAGCTAACACTCATCTGGATCTTTGCTATGCAACAGTTAGTACGACTCTTACTCACATCTCCTTCTCTCACTATGTGGAAGGTTCTTTCTCTTTTGGGGATGTGGGCATCACTCAAATCCTTCATTCCTTTGGGATGATTGCACATGAGATCATTTGTTATGTCCAGTGTTATTTTGCCTACACTCACACCTTTCTAGGTGCAATGAAATGAATTTTTATTCATTGGGATCCTTCAGTTTCCTGGGATTTATCCATGGTTATTTTGTCGAGCTGGGTATGGAAATTGATCCACATTGCTTATTCTGGGCTCTCTTTGGAGGCGAGGAGACTTTTGCATGTCACGTCTCATCAGAATCGTCACGTTTCTATGTCCCTAGCAGACTGGTTAAACTGCCCATTGGAGGACATTGTGCAGGCTGGTATGTGGACCTCCCTCAATACTTTTATCTCACGTTATTGCTTGATCTGGCAGTATCTTCGTCTTAGGGTTTTTGACTACCCCCTGTAGCTATCTTAATCATATCCGCTAGATTATAAAGAGGGGTGAGTATCTTCATTTCTAATCTTATCTCTTCTTTACTTTCCAGAGTCCCTTACCTCTTTTTCACAGGATCCCACTCTGTGGTGAGTGTTGCCTGGGCAGGTATGCTTTTATCAAACCAAATCCATGCTAGCAACCATTAACATAACATACTTTATCTAGATTTCGACAGGCTCTGTAAAAGTGAGATGTTCCATAAGACCACCTAGAGGCAGACCAGGTGGTATTACTGTACTATGCTGGACTGCCTCTCATGGACTATCATAAGTAAAGCATAAGGGAATCCTGCCCATCCTTGCTGATCATCAGATTGAATAAATCAGGGTTTGTTTGCTTTTAAAAATACAGGGAACTTGGTTCACCTATTGCACTGTTTCCAAGAATTGTTACTCAGGACTCTCCAGTATGCATTACCATACCCAGTTCCCAATCACTGGGGTGGTGGACAGGGGTTATTCTTCTGGAGGGTTCAAGTAAATTTCCTCCACTCTTGGAGACAAGGGTGAAGTTGGGGCCCTCCCACCCGGGAACCTGGATGTTTTTTCCCAGATGCTAGTGGGAGAGGCACCAGCTAATGTGGGAGCCTACTCTCATAATACTGGTTCAGATTTGATGCTTGGCTATCCAGTTGGGTTGAGTGTGGCCATTCTTTTTGATCAGTATTGCTTCAGAACATTGTTCATGGAAGAGGGTCCATTGTCTCCTCATAATTCCGAATGCAGAGTGATCCCATCCTGGGTCCTTGTTTGAGCACAGTTTGTTCCATGTCCTCCCCATAATTCCTGGGACAGTTGGAATTTACCTTGTCCACATGGTTGGGGAGTGAGGATGAGTGTTCATAATTCCAGACCAGGTGAGTTCTGTTTCCTCAGGTTGAGTATGGCATACAGGATCCTTTCATTTCGAGTTTGGGGTGTTGCCTTTTGGACTTCTTCAGGTTAAAGAGAGGGTTTGTACACTTTTGTGTTGCTTACCTTCTTGTCGTGATTCCAGTAGCTTGGAAGGCATCACTCTATGTCTACAGGTTGGGATCCACTCACAAATATATATACTGCAGTCCAAATGCCCTAGCCACCAATGTGTGATTTAGGGACCATGGCCCTATAATTCCAACTTCGAGTAGTGGAACCTCAGCTACATGGTTGGGGCCTGGCCAGTGGTGATGATGAATCATATTAAATTCACCCGCAAAGCATAAATTCTGGATGAAGAGCATTCCTGTTCTGGATGTGGTGTGGTTCCCCTACTAGGGTGCTAATTTTTTGTTGGCATGCCCACAATCTAATGTATGGATAATGCCCTCACTGGCCCCTCCAGTTTATTAATGGGGAATTCTAGCTGTAGTGTGAGAGGAGGTAAATATGTTTTGGAAGTTACCATTTTCCTAAATTGAAAATGTATTTCCAATAATACTTACCTCCTTTCACACTCTCCTGCCCTTTCTCCCCACTAAGAGACTGTGTTAGAGACTGCAGATTAGGTCAATCTCGAAAAAGTGATAATATTATCTGATTAAGGTGCTTATATACAATATCAGGATAGAGGGCACATTAACATAGGTGGTGAGTGTCAAGTGACATATCACCAAGGGCAGTTAAGTGGGGAATAAAAGATTGGAGCAAGTGAGAAAAAATCAGATCAATGCTTAGATGCACAAAGGAAGGAAACCCAAGCAGTTTAGTAATAGCTGTTGTGTGAGAGGAGGTAAGAATTATTGGAAATATATTTTCAATTTAAGATAATGTTAACATCAATGTTTAAACTAAATACCCTCCTCTGAACAAAGCTCATAAAGTTACTTGTATTTCATCAACAGGAGCAGAGAAAAGAAATTTTAGAATCCATTGTTTTGTTCAAGACATATCTTTGTGCTGATGCATTGAAAACGGTTAACTTAGCTACTGTTGCTTCTAAGACTGAAGGATGTTTACCCCAGGATTTAGAGATCATTGTAGATAGAGCTACACATGCTGCTTTTCTTCGCTCAATTTCTGGTAAGTCGTGTAGGACATAGTTAAGAGGCTAAAAATTCAACCCATAACCTTACACTTTTTGTACTATTTAATTCCATTTACTTTTTCTATAAGTCAACCTTCACATAATTAAACGTTTGCTCAACTCACAATATCATTTATATATATTAGACAACACTGCTGATGTTATTTTATTCTACTCATTTTATGTTAAGTCAACTGGGACATACTGGTAGTAAAAAGTTAGCTTAACCCACAACATAAGTTTTTTTGTTTTGATTTTTGCAGAACTCTTTACACAGGTTTATTCCTGTTGCTTTTTATTTAGTCAATTACAATAAGGTTTAATTCACAATATAACTAATGTTGTAGATAGAGTTAAAACTAGTTTTTATTCAAGCTACTTTTTGGTAAGATTAAGACATTATGTATTTATTCATCTGTCTGTTTAATAGAACAAAATCAAAATTGGATACTTAATATGTGTGTGTGCGTGTGTATATATATTATATATATGCAAGATGAAACAAGAATGGATATTGTATATTGTTCAAATACTTTCTGTTTATACCTAAAAAAAAAGTCCCTCAATGGGACAGCTATAACAAAACACACAAACACACTGTAAAATAAAAAAATTAATTTGCACTAAAGTTAGATGTTTAGTGATGTTTGCCATTCAACTAATGGATGGGCCCATTAATTGATTACATTTGATTAATCAACTAGTTCAGTGTTCCTCAAACCATGGTATGCAAGAGTTGACTGTGATTGTTACCAGCCAGTTGCCTTCTCTCTAGTTAGAAGTTCAAAATTAGTAACAGTGGCAGATAGCTGTAGTAGCTTTGCCTTAATAAAGACAGGGTAAGCTAGTTTGGTGGCAATTATAATCAAACCCAAGACCACCATATCACAAAGCTGAACAAACTTGAACTAAAATAGACAATTAAAATGCTAAAATTGAGTTTTGATACCGGTTGTGAGCAGGGTACAGATAGCCTATTATTTAGCTTTACACTTAACAACAAACAAACATAATGGTAGTGTTGCAATTACTTAGGTAGTTGGTATATTTGGAAATAATTATAATTGAAAATCCTAATTTTCATTATTTTTGTGACAATAGGTTTAATCGTTATTCAATTAATCAGTTGTTAGAATAATCAAAAATAGTAATAATTGGAAACACTAATTTTGATTAGTTGATTATTTTCATGACATTAATTGATTTAATCATAATTTTTATTAATTGATTAGGTTACCTGGCACTAATCGATGTAATCGCTTGTCATAGGTAATTGGTTAAATCTCCCAGTTCTACTTTGCACTAACCAGTAGTTGTCTTGACATTCTAATCATATGAGTATTTATAATTGTTGGGGCATCATTTAATTACATGCATCATTTTGAGGACTTTAATTTTCAATTAATTAGTATTTATAAGTCTAATTTTATTTATTATTTTGGATGTAATATAATATGTACTTTTTCGTAATATTGTTTACAGTTTATTTAATATACTTATAATACTTAAAAAATGTAGATAATAAAGTTCAAGATGAAACAGAAGCAGTTTTGACTGATGCAGACTTTCAAGCAGCTCTGTATGACTTTTCTCCACTGTCTCTACGGGATTTAAACCTTCATACTGGGGGTGATAAAGGGTGGAATGATGTGGGAGGATTAAACTCAGTAAAAAAATCATTAAAGGAAATGCTTCTTTGGCCTGTGAAAGTGAGTTGCATTTTTTTTCATTAGTGTTTTTATTTCCATATTGTGAGGTTGATATTGTGTGTTTAACATTATTTATAATGAAATCATACAGTATAAAAGCATGATAAATTATGTCTAGAAGTTTAACTTAAGAATATTTCCAATACTTTGTGGTGATTGAATTGTGAAGACATTTCTGAAAATCAAAGTTAATTATATTTTATTATAATTTTAATATAAAACCTTTCTAGTTTGACATAAACATTTATTTTACTTCTCAGTATCCATCCCTGTTTGCTGCATGCCCACTGAAACCACAGTCTGGAATTTTGTTGTTTGGAGCTCCTGGAACAGGCAAGACATTGTTAGCGGGAACTGTGGCCAAAGAATTTGGATTACATTTCATTAGTATAAAAGTATGAACACAGTTCATGATTATTGGACTTTTACTCCAATGATAAAGTAAAATGAAACTGAGGTTACTGAAGACAGGTGTCTAGTTAACTTAGTTTTATTTCTATTGGTCTTTCCATTCTTCAGTTTTCAAAATGTTATTTCATTATTAGGGAGAAGTTGTTTTTTTCGTATACGATACAATAGCAAATGATCAGACACTTTAAATAAGTATCATTTGAGTTGTGTTTAAGTTGTGCTGTTTTGATCATGTTTGTTTGTTCATTGAAAGAAATTTGGGTGGTTGTGATTTTGATATCATATGAAAACATAATAAGCCAACAGAACAAAAGTTCTGAAGGAGTGACTTGTAATTAAAATGTATATATTTTTCTATGTTCTGATTATTCACTTTGTTAATGACCATTTTTCGACATTATGATGATAAGGAACCCACTTGAAG